GACTGTAGTCACAAAAGCTGTTCTGTCTATAGTCTCCTAAATTGAGCCAAACAACTCCTCTAATAAAGCAAGTTACCAAACAAAAGTGAAAGACCTACAGTTCTTCTCCGAAAATGGATACCCACGTGACTTCCTGCGTCGGTGCATGAAGCGGCAGGAATCCAAGCACCAGATGGGTCATAAACACTTCATCGAAACCGAGGTCCATAAATGCCTCACCACCTGCCATTTGCTATCACTGTAGACCGGTTATATATTCACTCAGGAGCGGGCGCACACCAATCCAATTGGCTTCTCAAACTAGCGTTTATGACCCATCTGGTGGACTCCAGTGGTGGGCCACCTGCGCTAATGTGTGAGTGCGCGCATTTTTGCTTCCGCGGTATCCAACTGCTGGTCAGGCTTGGCTGAATGAAGGCAAATAAGCCCGAAACAGTTCTGTATCAAGTTACCCCCTCTCTGCTATTATGACTTGACCGGCATCGGCCTGGCAGGTGGTCGCCCGTTTCGGGATCCCTAGCCACCCACACGAGATTTACTTACTTCGGAAGTCAATTGGATCGGCGTCCGGACATTCCTGAATGAATATATAGCCGGTCTGCAGTGAGAGCAAATTACAGGTGGCGATGCATTGATGAATTGCGGTTCGATTAAGTGCTTATGACCCATCTGGTAGACCCCCTGGTAGACCATCTGTGCCATCTGAGTGCACATGTTCGTTTTGTCCGGCCCAACTGATGGTCAGGGTTATGTTTGGCTGAAGGAAGACAAATAAGCCCGGAATAGTTTTGTATCAAGTTACTCCCAAACACTGTCATCCCTCTCTGCTATCATGACTTGGCCGGCATCGACCTGACAGGTGGTCGCCCGTTTCGGGACCCCTAGTCACCCAAACGAAGTTTATTTACTTCAGGAAGTCAATTGCATCGGTGGTCGCACATTCCCGAGTGAATGTATATATAAGTCACAAAAGTAATTACGCTGTTGGAAACATATTATAAGGTTTCGAAACACTGGTGTACAAGATTAACTTAAATCAGAACCTAAAATAAAGTAGAGCGGGTTTCAGGGCGTTCGTCGTCCCTGTTCTTCCGACGGTAGTTTTCGACCCTATCCGGATAATCTTATTTGCAAACTAGTTTACCCACACAATGCTTGCGGAAGGAGAACCAATTATGGGCATACTGGCAACCTTTCGTAACAATGACTTAAACACATCTACTCTCGTATTTAGACTCCGCTCCCTAGCCAACTCTAACAAAAGTTCAGGTATCTATGGTTAACTCTAATACTAGGTCAAAATACCTTTTCCATGTCCTTCCAGTACAGCATAAACGTAGGCTGTATGTCAGGAAGGCCTTTAGTTAATAGCGTTTGCAACCACTTCGACATTAAGCTAGCTGATTTGTGCGAAACATCGGGAAGAATCCTCCAGATTCGAGAGTTGCTTTAACCTCGGCCGACTGACCCTAACACGCAAAAAAACATCAACCACAATCATTTTACGCCATCCGAATTTTGCCGCTTCGT